TTATAATAATAATAATAATAATAACAATAATAATAATAATAACAATAATAATAATAATAACATTAACAATCATAATAATAATAACTATATAATAGTAATAATGATGTTGATAATAATAACAGTTTGATTTGATTCTCCGAAAAGACAGAATCATGGGTCTGTTACTTCTTATTTATATTTTTATTTGAGGGAACAAAGGACATTGGTTGTCCGAAAAAACAGAATCGATTTAGTTAATGTATTGTTTTTTCTCCCACATCCACAGACCGGGGTGAACTGGATGACCGGGCGGGCGTGGAGAGACTGCAGGAGCTGTTGCTGTGTTGTCTGCAGCACGTCCTGTCGAGGACACGCCCCCGCCACCAGTGGGCCACTGTGATTGGTCAGGCCTTCGACATGCTGACGTCAGTGCGAGAAATCAGCCACGTTTACTTCCAAAACACGGACCATTCCGCGGCGATAAATCTGTTCAAGGAGGAGGTGCTAGCCCAGGAGATGTCTCAGCTGACCACGAGCGACGACAGCCACGAGTCTAGAGGGTCAAGTCTGCGACAGGAAGTGGCGGGAGATTCTTGACCGCTGGAGAAAAATGTGTTGTTACTATTTATATTTAACCATTCACCTTTGTTGATTGACAACCACAACAAAGACCACATTGTTGATTGACAGTGCGTGCGTCTGTTTGTCTGAGGTCTGTTTCCCTCTCTCCATCCGTTCTCGTGACGACACATGATACAGAAGCTGGACACACGCCATAAACTGAAGCCTGTTGTTCCAACGGACCACCGACCGAAGTCCGCCTCAGTGGTTCAGTGGCCCAGTGCTTGGCTGTCACGTGCAGGAGACCCAAGTTCAATTCCCGAGTGGGGAGAATTTTTATCGAGTATCTCAGTCTGTCTGCTGGGATGTTGTACCTGTCTCAGCCCTGGTCTGTCTGCTGGGATGTTGTACCTGTCTCAGCCCAGGTTGGCCCTGATAGGCAGGGTCAGAAGTCTACCTCCTGTATGGTCGTTTTAAGCACAAGTGAGCTATCCTGAAAAATGCTGTTTTAAGAAAATCGAAGGTAAAACTTTTTGCCCATTTTTCAGTTTCTTTAAAAGACAAGGAGAGTTTTCTCTATAACCAAACAAATATACACGCCAATAAACCAAACTTCTCCTATAGGTAGGGCAATGCCCACTTTTGGTGTAAGTCAAGATTTCTGGGAACACCCGAAATCTGGGTTAGCCCGCTTGTCCTTGAAAACGACCATATGATCTAGATTGTGCCGATGAGGGCATAAAAAACTCTACTTTTTAAAAGAGCCTTTAGTTCTAATTGACTGACTGAGACCCACAGTTCCCACAACTGCCTATGACGACCTGTGAGGGGAGGTAACTGATCCACCAACGCTCTGGTCTGATCGGGTCAAATGACGTCATGACATGTCTGTTGTCGTGTGCCTGGTGGGGCAGCAGGCCGGGCTGAGGCTTGTTCTAATTTTAGCATGAGTTTTACGGTACTTGCAACACAAATTAGGTCATATAGGTGTCGAAGTGCAATGAAAACAAGGAGGAGAGTTAAGGATGATAGATGTGTGATAGGAAATAAAGAGTAAACCATACCAGAGCACCCCCCGCCAACCACCCACAGATAGTTGGTATGTGGGGATATGTCTCTGTGACTCTGTACAACTGATGGTATGTGGGGATGTCTCAGGATACAGGAGTGTGGTAAACATTATTGTCTCTCAGAGGGACAAACAGACAGACAGACAAACAGACAGACGGACAGACAGTCGCACCAGTTGTAATTTCGTTTCACAGATGTCATTGTGATCTCAAACAGTTCAGCTCAAAATCTGTGGTATTCCATAAGGTAAATAAATACGGTAAATACTGTGGTATTCCATACATATGGTAAATATTGTGGATGGTAGATACTATGGTATTCCATATAGTAAATACTATGGTATTCCATACAGTAAATACTATGGTATTCCATATATGGGTAATACTATGGTATTCCTATACGGAAAATACTATAGTATTCCATAAGGTTAATGCTATGGTATTCCATACGGTAAATACTGTAGTATTCCTTGTAGCCTTAACAGTAAACACTTTTTATTTTTGAATGAGTTACGTGCCCTATTCTGTACACAGATGTTTAAATGTCTTTTCTAAAGTTGGGATATGGCCGAGATCTTGTGGGAAGAGGGAGAAAAACCCAGACCATGGAGAGAAAGAAGGCAGAGAGGGTTCACTAAAGCTTGTAAGTTCTATCTCACCTGTCAATGTCAGCCCTGATGAGTTCATGGTTTGTGTTCTTGCTTCTGAGGGGTCGTATATCTTGCTGGGGTGTGGCATAAGCTTGTGGGTGTGTGTGTGGGAGGGAGAGAGAATGAGTGTCTGTCGTGTGCGTGTGAGTGTATATGTGTGTGTGTGTGGGTGTGTGTGTGAGAGAGAGAGAGAGAGTGAGTGAGTATGTGTGCGTGTATGTGCATGTGTGTGTGAGAGAGAGAGAGAGAGTGAGTGAGGATGTGTGCGTGTATGTGCATGTGTGTGTGAGAGAGAGAGAGAGAGAGTGAGTGAGTATGTGTGCGTGTATGTGCATGTGTGTGTGAGAGAGAGAGAGAGAGAGTGAGTGAGTATGTATGTGCGCTCACATTTGTGTGTCTGTATGTTTGTTTACCTGGTTTAAATGGTCTGATTTATCAATGTCATGCTCCTACTGTTAAGAGAGAAGAGGCCATGACTGTGTGTGAGGTGACGGCTCTCCCAGCCACACAGAAGGACAAACATAAACCAACTTGCCGCACGGCACGGGGTACTGTGGATAGCAGTTTACAACACCCAAAAAAAAAAAGAAAATTTTATTTTCACAGTTTGCCACAAAGAAAATTTTTAATTATTTTATTTTCATGAAGTATGTTACAAAGAAGAATTTGAATTATTTTATATTCATGAAATATGTCTCAAAAGAAATGAAATATATATTATTTTCATGAAGTAATTCATAAAAGAGATTAAAATATTGTATTTTCACAAAGCTGTTCACCCTTCCACCACCCCCACCCCCCACAAAA